GCATCCCTACAGTCATGAGAGGCCAGGCAAGGAGATGCGTGCCTCGATGTGTGTGATATTGAGTTGGCCACACCCAGCCAATAACATGACCACCAAGCCATGTCCACCCAGTCACATGACCACCAAGCCATACCCACCACCTAAGCCATGCCCACAGAACCGGTTGTTAAAACTTTGAATCTCACCCGTGGGTGAAGGTATTTCCTTATGAATAGAGCTAGCTATCTCTATATCTCTTAAGTGCTAACATTTGTTGAAGGCTATTAAGAAATGTGGGGGCTGCTTTCCAAGAGCATGTTTCTCCATTTCTCATTCAAGGAAGTATAATATTTTGCCTTTTTAATATTTCTCAAAATATTTCATTCTTTTAGGAGGGGGTAAGTGGTAACTTTCTACAAACCTGTGAGCCTCTGGGAATCTCTGCGTACCTGTGACTTATTACAGCATAAAAGTGAAAAGAGATAGTTCTAAGTCCAGATGCTTTATGTCTACCTTTCTTTAAAAATGCACACAGAATAAAAATTCATTGCTGTTATATGACAAGTATGACCAAAATCCAAGTATAGCAACTGCCTTGAACAAAATAGTACCGTAGAAACAAGTTTGGATTTGAGTTTTAATAAGAATTAAAATGATCAGATTAAACTAAAACAAACAAAAAAGAGTCATTGAAAACCAAAGAAAAGCTGCAAAGCGTGTTCTCAAACATACTGTTTTGTTTTTTTTATACATCAAGAAAGAGGAGGGTAAAAAGTATGAAAGAGAGGAGCCAAATCATTCTGAAACAAGAAAAGTTCAGTCACAACATTTGGCACCTAAAGAAAAGAAAAGAACTGATGAAGTCGTTTTTCATCAGCTCCTGATTTCACAACATCGCAAAGCTTCTTTTACCTAGAGGAGCCAATAGGTAAGTTTAGACCTGACTCTTTGCCAATTGGGGAAAGAGCATGTAGCAATTTTTTTAAAAAAAGTGGACTAACAAAACTTCATTTCGTCTCTCAGTGGAGCCAGGGATGGGATGGGTGCAGCAATGGGGGCTTGTAGTTGCACAGCTAATCCAAAGCAGTGCAACACCCTCCCCCCGCAGGTTACATACCTCCAAACCTTGTTGCTTTTAATGCAAAATGGGCTTCAATGCTATGTGATGAGCTACAAAAAATAAGGTGTATTTTCTCCGACTAAGCAGTTTGTATCAGATTAAAATTGGGCAACTGCTATTGCATGCAGTGACTCCCCCAAAATGCAGGACACTGAGACTTGGACACTGCACTCAGTCCTTCCACCCCATTTTAGGGGCTGCAAATACCAAGTTGTTTATCTTGAGTTAAAATAATGAGGAACATAAATAGTTATCTTCTGCCCATTGACCTCAACATTTTAGCTTTCTTCACTCAGTCAGTGCTATCTTCCTCTCCAGATTGTCAAAGGGTCTCTTGATTTTCAGGCAGGCATCTCCCTCGAGCGTTTCTCCCACTGAAAACATTATCAGAATATGCTGGGGATGAGTTTAGGAATTTTGCTGGGGCCCTTCTCCCAACCGACAGCAGATCCATGACAGGCAAGATTTTTAGCCTGGCTGTAGCCCCATGAAGCAACATTTATTGCTTCAAATGAGATCGTCTGGTGCTTGTTTTGTTTCTCGCTTTACTTTGCGACACAGATCTAATTCTTGATTTTATCTGTACACAATGATGTAATTAACCACTGTATTCACCCCCTTTCTCTTACTGGTGCCCTTCAGGTGTTCTAAGCAAAGACTTTTGAGTCAGCTAGCTGGAGTTTATGGGAGCCGTGCTCCAAAACCTCTGAAGGGTGCCGTGGTGAGATAAGCTGACAGAAACGGAGAAACAAGTATCTGACCTTGTTATATTCATTGTGAGACAAGGCATGCTTTTGCCCTTTAGAAAACTCACTTTTCAATTCTGTTCTTAATCATTCTTCTCTCTGAATCCCATGAGATACTTCTTAGATGCACTTCATAGGCTGCAACTTTATTTATTTTCCTCATGGTAACTCCAATTTCACATACCAGAGAACCAGTCTGGTGTGGCAATCAGAATGCTAAGTTCATGAACTTTTGTGAAAAAGAAAGAAAATATTGGACACCAATATATATTCCATGACACATAGAATTTTAAAAAATTAATATTCAGATGAAACCAGAACTTTTCTCTTACCGACACTCACCTAGAAAAAGTTCACGATGATTGATTTAACTGCAGTGGTAACTGCAATGAAGCTGTTGTATGCACAAAGAGGGAAGACTACAGAAACACCAATAATGGAGGAATGGATTATCAAAATGGCTGAGTTTACAGAAATGCTAAGAGGTCTTGTTTGATTAAAGAGGGAAAAACTATTTTTATAAAAGACTTTTCTTTGCTGGAGAGGGATAAAAATGAATCGCAGATTTCAGGATTTATTGATTTAAAAGGTTTGTTTATGGGAAGAAGGGAACTCTGATATGCAATACAAACATAGCATTTGTAACTGCAGCAAAGAAGATCGGAAGTCACTTCTTCTGATAGCTTTCTTTTTCTTTCTTTCTTTTTGTTATTCTTCACTTTTTCTTTTACCCTTTAGAATCTTTGTCTTTTTTCATTTCTTCTTCATCTTTCCATGACTCTGTCCTTTTTATAAGAAACTTTACAAAATTTTCTTTTAATAAAAATTAATTATTTATTTTTTTAAAAAAAATATAAAAGCAACACCAGGAGAGACACAGGTATGGTTTACCATCAGGCATGGAAGCTTACTGTAGAATTTTGGACCAGTCACTCAGTTCAGCCTATCTTGTTGTTAAGAAAATGTTTATTTTATTTATTTATATCCTGCCTTTATTTTTTTTACAAATAATTCAATATGGTGAACATATCAAGCGCACCTTCGTCCTTGTATTTTCCCCACAACAATCACCCTATGAGGTGGCTGTGCTGAGAGAGAGTGACTGGCCCAAGGTCACCCAGCTAGCTGTCATAGCTAAGGCAGGACTTGAATTCACGCTCTCCGAGCTTTTAGTCTGGTGCCTTAATCACTGGACCAAATTGGCTATACACTCACCTTGACCTCCTAAAGATAGATAGATAAAACTAACAAATTAATTAATAAAAACAAACATACTTCTGAATACAAACCCGATGTGTGCATTAAAGCAGACCTGAATAGTGATACCCTCCATCATCTGTTTTTTTAAGCAGTATCTTTTATATTGGCACAATTAAGTATGTATCATTCCCCCCACCCAAAGACTATGATGAAGATGAAATAAAAAAGTGGAAATTGTATATGGGCACAATTGAGATGGGAGCAGATTGGCCAGTTTTTAGGAAACACGTGGGTTGGGTTTTTTTTAATTTTTATAATCAGATGGTAAAAACCAAGTATTGCTTTTTGCCATGGTGATTATCATAATATAGCTCCGCCACCCACCCACTGCTTTCTGATATTCTAAAATTGTTTAGTTCTTTGGAACCGTGCAGATGAATTTTCTGGGGGAAGGAAGGCTGATACACTGAATGTAGCTGTTGTAGCTGTGGGGAGATTTGATGACATTTCTAGGAAGAATAGGAAACTATCTGTATTTGCACTGTAAACCCAGGGGAGGATTTGATGGATTATCCTCAGCATTTGCCAGTGATAGACTGCTATTCAACAGGCAAAGCTTTTCACAACCTAACATTTTGCCAGTCTGTTGCCTGCCTTTTTTTTTTTAAAGGGTAGCTCCATGTGATCATGAGCTGATAGTTAGCAAAGAGCTTTCTTGATGTGCCCCAGATGTGCATATCCCCATCAGCATTGCTAAACCACAAGACGGCAGATTGGGGAAGAGAGATAGTATGGGGCCCTAATAAGTCACGCTTCTCCCTTGGCCATGAAAAGCTTCATCTGTTAAAGTCCCTCCCATCACCAACTCTTCCTTGTTCTCTGCTCAGCTCTTAAAGCTTTTATAAAATCTTTATAAAATGTTTTATAGATGGCATCTCCCCCCTTCAAGGTTAGCGAAGATGCACCCCAACATGAGTCCACATTGCTGGAAATGTAGGAAAAAAGAAGGAACCTTTTTCCATATGTGGTGGTCTTGTGCAGAAACCCAAAAGTATTGGAAGAAAATTAAAACTTGGTTGGAAGAAATCACTAAAGAGCAGATCAAATACAAATCAGAGTCCTTCCTACTAGGGATTTTTGATAAGCAAATCTCCAAAAAAGCCAAATACATAACAATACACATTTTAACAGCGGCCAGATTAGCCTTCGCTCAACAGTGGAAACAACATCAAATTCCATCATAAGAAATGATTATTGAAAAAATCTCAAAATGTGCAGAAATGGATAAATTGACTTTGGCGCTAAAAAACAAAGACACTTCACTATACTACGATAGCTGGAATTGTTGGTATAATTGGATTGATCAAAGATAAATTATATATCATAAGGCATGAAAGAAAAGTATCAACCTATAATAACAAGGTAGCGATATAAGTTAAAAACAGGTGTGGTTATATGACACAAGTTAAGGTTAAGAAAACGAAAGAAGATCTTGCAAACTGTTAAAATAAGAATACTTTTTACTTTGTAACCTCTTTCTTTCTTCCCCCTTTCTTTTTCTTTCTTTTCTCAAAATTCTTTCCCTCTCCTTCTCTCCTCTTTTCTTTCTTTTTTTTCTTTTGCTTATTTGTGTATGTATTGTGATTGGTTTTAATTGTAAAAATTAATAAACTATAATTATAAAAAAAAAAGCTTCATCTGTTAAAGTCCCTCCCATCACCAACTCTTTCTTGTTCTCTGCTCAGCTCTTAGTTCCCTCCGTGGAGCTGGTTCAAGGACAGGGGATTCCCCTCTGCGTGACCTCTCTGCTTTCTTCTTAGACCATAGAACATAAGGAAAGATGCACGCACCAGCAGACCTAAGAACAACTGGAGGAAGTCTCTGATCAACTTGGTTACAGCTCCTTTGAACTAGGAAACAATTCTTAAGGCTGTTCCTGTACTTGCTCAGGGAGATCCCTCTACCCCAAGCAGTTCTTACTACCAGGTGTGTCAAAGGCTGAAATGTGGTAAGTTCTGCTTGTAATTCTGGTCTGTTTATTTGCTTTTATTTGCAAGGTGTGGAAATATTTGTGTTTCAAACTGAAAGGGAGAAGTCAATGCAACTGTTATCTGCTGTGAGTCGGCTTTTGTACTTTTGAAGGGCATCCCTGGGTGACAAAACCCCAAACGAATTTTTGACAGTGTTTTTCTTCTTAAAAACCCACCACCACCACCAATACTCCATGAAGGGCTGCTATATGCGCACTGCAGTTAATGGCACAGTCACGCTAGGCAGTAGCTGGCAATCACACAACAGGGTCCAAGGAAGGAAGGAAAGTACATGCCAATGAATGATCACCTTACTGTAAATTGGTCCCCTTCCCCACCTCCCCACCACTTTCTGTTCCTCTTGGCGTGTCACACTTTTCAGCTCTGGTGTTTAAGAAGGAAAAAGTTTGAGGTTACACCGTTAGAAGTTATACTTAAAGAAGATATGGCTATTTTAAAGAATTACTTGGCTTCCTACTCTATGAATGGTCGATTTCTGAAAAGGAGCCTCCATGCTTACAAGATATATGCCCATCTGCAGTCACGACAGGCACTTCGCATGAGTAGGACTGAGAAGAGACTGATCTGAATATGGTTTGTGACAGTACACATTTTTCCCACTTCCAATTATTTAACCAAAGCAGCAGGGAAGCATCTATCCAAACTTTAAATGATTTTGCTGAGATTGAGGAAATTGGAAAGATTCTGAACTCAGGAAAAAAAAATCATGGTACAGAACAATCAAGGTGTCAAATTCTCACACCAAGCTCTTGCTAAAAAATACGCAAGCAATATCCCCCAACCTGAATTCTGCCCTGCAATTTTCTAACATTTTAGGGGTGTAAATTAAATGGATAGCCTCATTTAAATATTAATTCTGAAACTTCATAAAAATCATAGGTGTTAGATCTGGGAGGACAGTTCAAGAACGGAGGCAAGACTCAGATAGCAACAACAGCTTTTTATTTGTGACTTCAGATCTGAGCAGCTAACCCCAGCCGCAGCAGCCCCTTATATAGGGCTGGCTGCGGCTAGGCAGCCAATGAAGGCGATTTGAGTTTGCCGCTCTTGGCAGGGCCAATCGCGGCAGCCCGTTTACTGGCCAATCGCATCAGTCTATGGCGACCAATCACGATCGGTTATCAGCGGGCCAATCAGATTTGCAGGCTACGAGCCTGTTAGTCCGGAACACCCCTCCCCTCTCGGTTCCATTTAAGGGGTGGAGTAATATAGTCTCGCAGGTAGGCAGGTCTTCGCACCTGTCTGCCTGACTTACGCAATTCCACTTGTCCCTGTTCAAACCCGGGTTCAGATGGACTGCTTGCTGGATCAAACAGGAACGGTGAACCGGTGCCATGGTTAGGGCTCTCCTCTGGTGCCCCCGGGGTGATCGAGTCCTCAGCCTCGCTGTTACTGCCATGGCTCCCGGGGCTCGCTGAATCTGCCTGGTTGCTGCTTCTTGGCGAAACGTTTGACTGTCCAGTCTCAGCTGCAGCTGGTGAGTGTTGCCAACCATGGTGCGGTGATCTCAGTGTTAGCTCAGAATAAACAGGTGTTGGTTCTAATTCTGAGTTCACTGCTTCCCCTCCCCCCCTAGTGTCAAAATTAGGGTCAGGGTTGGAAGATGTGGTTAGTCTGGAGCGCAGTTGGTCAATATGGCATTTCCATGCTCTGCCATCAGTGGTGAGTAGACGGTAGGAGCGGGGACCCGTAACTTGAGTTACTTGGGCAGGAATCCAAAGGGGATCCCCAGAAAATTTTTTTGCGAAAACAAGGTCTCCTACCTTGAAAACACGGTGCTTGCTGCTGGAACCCAGGGGCTTTTCCAGGGTGTAGGCAGGGTGCAAACGATCTAGAGGCGATCTGAGTTTCCTGGCCATCAGGAGTTCAGCTGGGCTCTTGTTGGTCGTGCTGTTTGGTGTGATGTGTTGTAGGAGCAGCATTCTAGTGACTTTCTCGTGGATGTTGCCTTGATCCATTTTCTGCAGGGTTTTCTTCGTAAACTGAACCATTCGTTCAGCCCGGCCATTCACCGCAGGATGAGCCGGCGATGTGAGTGCGTGTTGGATGCCCCGTTCCGCTAAATACTGTTCAAAGGCTAAGGCAATAAATTGGGGCCCATTGTCAGAGATCAGGACATCTGGTAACCCGTGTGTGGTGAAGAGTCTGTTCAGTTTTTTAATGACCGCCTCAGTAGTGGTTGCTTTCATTTTATTGACCTCAAGCCAGTTTGAGTAGGCATCTACAGTTATTAAGAAGGTGTGGCCTCTCGTAGGTCCCGCAAAGTCAATATGAATGCGAGACCAAGGACCCCTGGGTGTTTCCCATTCTGCTAGTAGGGCTTTAGGTGGAGCTGAGTGGTTTTCCTGGCATTTGTTACAAGAGGCGACCCAGGTTTCGATTTGTTTGTCCATACCTGGCCACCAGGCATAACTTCTTGCCAGTGCTTTCATATGCACGATGCCCTGGTGTCCATCGTGTAGCATTTGCAAGACCCTTTTTTGTAACTTAGTTGGTACAACAACTCGGTCTCCCCACAAGATGCACCCTCTTTGTGAAAAAAGTTCCATTTGTCTGTTTTTAAATGGCTTAAACATTTCCTTAGTGTCGTAATCTGGCCATCCCCTCTCCACCCAGCCAAGAACTCGTGCCAAACAAGAGTCTCTTTTGGTTTCAAAGGCGATGTCTTGGGCCGTTAGTGGAGGCGATGGCATTGTCTCTATTTGCAGTACCGGGAGTGTGGGAGCTGGGTCTTCCTGTGGCTCGGGTAGTGGTGAGCGGCTCAAGGCATCTGCGTGGGGAATAGATTTCCCCAGGCGATACTTTAATTGATAGTCGTAGGCAGTGAGAAATTCTGACCATCGCGTCATTCTGGGGGAGAGAATGTGAGGAGTAGGTTTGTCGCCCGCCAGGATCCCAAGTAGTGGCTTATGATCCATTATAATAGAAAATGGTCTCCCATAAACATATTCATGAAATCTTTTAATTGCAGAGACAATAGCAAGGGTTTCCTTATCTAAATGGCTATAGTTTCTTTCTGTTTTTGATAGAGTTCGTGAAAAAAATGCAATTGGTGCTTCTGAGCCGTTTGGTAGGACGTGGCTCAGGATGGCCCCCACCCCAAATGGTGAGGCATCACACGTGACAGTCAAAGGTAGTGTCTCGTTATACTGAATTAGTACTGCCTTTGAGGTAAGGAGGTCTTTAACTTGCTGGAAGGCGTGTTCCTCCTGACGTCCCCAAATCCAGGATGTCCTTTTATCGAGTAGTCTATGAAGGGGCTCAGCCTTCTGGGGTAGGAAGATGTTATAAAAGTTAATAAGTCCCAGGAAGGCTTGGAGGTTGGTTTTGTTTTTGGGTCTTGAGGCATTTTTGATAGCTGCCAATTTTTTTTCTGTGGGGTGGATTCCTTGCTTGTCAAGGAGGTAGCCAAGAAACTCCACCCTTTCTGTGCAAAGCTGGCACTTTTCCTTCTTAACCTTGAGGCCAGCGTCTTTGAACCTCTGTAGGACTGTTCTGAGGCATTTTTCTAATTGGTTTTTTGTGGGTGCTGCTATTAATACGTCATCAAAATAGGGCACGACCCCTTTTGTACCTTGTAATAGTCTCTCCATCAGGCTTTGAAAGATGCCTGGGGCTACGCTTACACCAAACTGGAGCCTGTTGCATTTGAATGCACCATGATGTGTGACTATAGTTTGGGCTTCTGCAGTCTCGGGATCAACTGGCAGCTGTTGATACGCTTGGGCCAGATCTAATTTTGCGAATATTTTGCCACCCCCAAGTGAATGCAGGAGATGTTGAACAACTGGTACTGGGTAGGCGCTCTGCTGTAGCGCGTGATTGAGGGTGGCCTTGTAGTCACCGCAGATTCTTATGGACCCGTCAGGCTTTATGGGGGTGACAATTGGTGTCTCCCATCGGGCGTGGTCAATAGGTTCTAACACGCCTTGCACAATTAATTTGTCCAGTTGCTCATCAATTTTGGATTTGAGAGCAAAGGGAACTCGGCATGGCTTTAGGCGAATGGGTGCAATGTCGGGGCGAAGATTAAATGAAATAGGGGACCCCTTGTACTTGCCTAGGCTTTCGTTGAACACTTCACGGAAGTCGTGGACGAGAGCCGCCTCCCAGTCATTGTCTTCAGTATGATGGATGCCAGCCATTCCGATTCCTAATGGCGCGAACCACTGAAGACCCAATAGACTTGGCCGGTCTTGGTCTACGATGGTGAGTGGTAGAATTGCCTTATGTCCCTTGAACGAGACCTGCACATGGCAGGTACCTGCGACTGGAATCCGGTTGCCTTGATAGTCTTTCAGTATGAGTCTCTGACTGCTGAGGTCTTGGCGTCGGATGTTGGGGATTAGCTGCTTGAGTGTTCTCCAGGATACCATGGATAGTGATGACCCAGAGTTGACTTCCATGTTGCACGGTTTGTTTTCAATCGTGACCTCTACTCGGATCTTTTTAGCGTCAAGTGATGAAGCGTGGCCGATGGTGATGGTTTGATGAGCCTCCTCTCGTCTGGGGGTGTCGTTAAGCCTTCGGGGTCTGCTGTACCGGTTCCACTGGTTGCTAGGGTGGTCCTTCTGCGTGGTGGCGTTGCCATCATTTCTCTTTGGGCTGCTCCCTCTCTGTCTGGGGCTGGAATTTCTCTTGTTTCTGCATACCTTCGCGATGTGTCCCCGTTTCTCGCAAAAACGGCATATGGCGTCTAAGAATCTGCATTTGGATCGGGGATGGTTTCCCCCACATCTGGCGCATTGGTAGTTGGATTTGCGACCCCGCTGGTCCCATTGCTCACATCCTGACCGGAGCCTGTGGACTTCTTCTTCCTCGCTGTCTGAGGATGACTCGACATCTTCATGATGGGTGGTCGATGTGTACTTGTCTGAAGGTTTCCCAGCATCATTGGTGGGTTGGCGATTGGTCCCACTGGTTCGACGCATTCATGCTGCCGATTTACGAGTGGCTT